AAAACCCACGCACACACACACACACACACACACACACACACACACACACACACACACACACTCTTAAATTTTTTTTTTCAGTAAAAAATAATTGAAAACAAAAGAGATGAAATCCTCTCTTGGTTGTGGGGTAGTTTCTAGTTGACTGGAAAACTCGTTAGTCCAGCAAAGGCATCGTAGACCTCCAACTGAAGAATATCCCCATCACCTGATGAGAACGAACAACAGAAAGGGAGAAACCAGTCCACCCTTATCTTTGACTAACTCAGTTCATAGAGTTCAAGCCTCTGTGAAACTTTGTTTTGTTCTTGGTGGTGGGTTTTTGTTGTTGTTTGTTTTGCTTTTTGAGACATAGTCTTTCTACTCACTATATAGACCAGGCTGGTCTCAAACTCACAGAGATCCGCCCAAGATCAGCCTAGTCAGTATCTCAGCATGGATGGGAGTGAGTTTATAAGACCCCACTCCTAGTAGAGAAGCTAAAGCTGCTGGGGGAAGAATTGGTTTTCTTTAGGGGTGAGATTCCTGATAGTTTGTTGACACTTGGGTTCAATTCCCAGCACCCATACGGTGGCTTATAACTGCTTGTAACTCTAGTTCCAGGGGCTCTATTACCCTCTTCTGGCCTCTGCAGGCACTGAACACACATCTGGTACACACACACACACACACACACACACACACACACACACACAATACATGTAAAATAAAATGTTTTAAAAATTTAAAAATTAAACCTAAAAAGAGGGAGTCTGGGTTGGGTGTGGCGGTCCATGTCTTTAATCCCAGCATTTGGGAGTCAAAGGCAAAAGGATCTCTGAGTTTGAGGCCAGCCTGATCCAGGACAGGCAGGGATGTATAGAAAAGACCCTGTCTCAAAGTCTGGGTTTCTCAAGAGAGAGCTCTATCACTGGGAGACTGGATAGCTCATCCTACAAACAGAAAGCAGGCCTACAATCCAGCTATTCATGAAGTTTAGGATGCAGTTCACAAGTTAAAAGCCAGCCTGGGCAGCATAGTTGGTAAAAGTGAAAACAGGGTTAGGGATATAGCAATAGGGTAATTGTCTATCAGGCAGGAGGCCTGGGTTTAAGTTCTAGTATTGGGGGAGGGGAGAATAAGTGTCTGGGCTTTGATGGAACTGGCAAGATGGTATAAATTATCCTACTAATGTCTGATTTAATTCTGCTTTTGGTCGAGGGGAAACCATTGCACAGAAGTGACCTGGACCAGATCACCACAAATATGGACTTGGCACCTTCTTTCCCACTTGTGCCACAGTGACAGGGACTTTTGGGCCACTGTTGTCACCTCTTTCTGAACTAGGGTGAGTTGGGGAGATAAAGTGCAGAACTGAGTTTGAGTAGAACCTCTGCTGTGTTGATTGGGAACGTAACCCCCAGAAACAGTCACTTTCCTTCTCATAAGGACTCCTAAAAGCCAATTACCCATCACTCACCACTACGGCTATGCTTCAAATCCTATTTTGTGGTTCTGGGGACTGAGGTAAGTGCCTAGTACATCAGGCAGCAGTTTTTACCATTAAGCTAAATCCACCATTTAAAAACTTGTTTGAGACATGGTCTCCCCGATTTGTGTAGGTGATTGCTTCCAACTCATGAGTTGCTGGGACCACAAACATATGTTGCCATGAACTTCATACGATTTTTAATGAAATCTAACACAAATCTCAATTCGATGAGTTTTTATAATGTACCTGCGCCAACTGTGGGAAGCCAAGGAATCGGGGAGCATGGAAAGAGGCTACTTAGATGTAGGATCTCAACCTACAGTCTTCTGAGGGCTACCATGAGAAGACTTAGGGGAGTGAGTGAGTTGGCTCTTCTTAGCTGAGGCTATAGACATCAGCAACCAGAGGGAGACAAGGACCAATCCAGTCCTGTAAGGACAGGATGTTTAGTGGGGGGTTTGCCTCTGTTCCTCACAGGTAACTCCTATTTACTCCTGAGGAAAAACCCTGGGATCAAGCTGCATCCCTGGGCTTCTAAGATAGGTGAAAGTAACCTTCCAGTTATGGCGATGGCCTGGTGGGCTTTGGACCAGGCACTAGGGCTCCCTGGCACTATTTGCTGTATACTTGGGATACCTCCTCTAACAAGCCCTGTACTTTTATCAGCTGATTGTCAAATACACAAATGAATAGCACTATGCTCCCCTTTTAGGTAAGAGTGGAGCCTCAGGCAAGAGAGCAGGGGTAGACAGGGTGAATACAGAGACACTGGCCTCCATGTGAAAGTCTTCCCTCCCTTGACCATAAAGACCCAGCTTCTCCCTTTTCCAGACACAAGGATGGAAGAGAACTATTTAGAAACTAGGACCTTTGACAGTTTATTTCTTGTTCAAGATGTGAACAAATGGTTTTTATTGCATTTACTATCTCTGGGTAATGCACTGAGCAGAAAAAGAAAGTCTTGTAATTCTCTGATTGGGTCTGAAATAAACTTCTTGATGTGAAAATCAGGAGAGAGCACCAGAGGCCTTGAATTCATTTTCCCAGGCTTCCTGACAGCTGAGAGCTGGTACAGCCTACAGAACCAGCCTGGCTGCAGTTCTCAGGTTCAGTCATAGTCACACTGAGGCCAACACCCTCATGGCTGAGCCCAACACCAGTGGGCCAGGGCAGTAAGACCACATTTTTGATTGCTTGAGGTTTCCTATGAACAACCACTCCCAGAATCACAGGCTCTGAACTTAAAGGCCACGGGTAAGGATTCCTCCTTGCAGATGGCTGTAGTTCTGAAAGCAGACAACTAGGATTGAATCCAGCATTCAAAGGAACGAAAGCACGCTACCTCAAGTTCGAATTGGTTCATCTGGGGCAGGAATAACAACAGCACCACGGAATTATCTGGAGTTTGGCTATGTCCACTCAAACCCCAGTGTTGAAGTCCTTACTCCCAGTACCCGAGATGATACTTTATTTGGAATTGGCCACTCCAGATGTAGGTGGGGTTCTGCTGCAGGAGACAGGATGAGCCCCAACCCAAAAACTGGGATCCTTGTACAAAAGTAAGTTTGGAGACTGACACAGTGGAGATGAAGGCAAAGATAGAGAGACATTTGTACAAGCACAGGGCTACAGACAAGTGTTAGTGACCACCAGACCCAGGATGATTCCCTCTTCTAGCCTCAGAAAGAACCAATCCTGTTGACACCAGACCTCGGCCTTGCAGTTTCCATAACCGTGTCAATGCCACCTGCTGCTATTAGAAGAGCCTATGTTTAGTATGAGTTATAACAGTGCTAGGAAGCTAAACAAACTGCCTTGGAGTTGATACCCTTGAAGGACATGGCTTCACAGAAGCTTCTGTCCCAGGGTTTGGCTCACCTGGCAAAGGAGCCTTGAGGGGCCAAACTCTCAATTCTCAGACAGAATGGGTAGGAATCAGAGTAGTGACAGGCAGTTTCCATCCCACATTTATAAAGGATCTTTGTGGCACAAAGAAGATATTTTGGGATAGGTGCGCACACTTTTAAAATGTGAGCTCCTGATCCCCATATGAGCTTAGCCTAATAGGGTCTAATGACAATTCCCCACAGATCCTAGAGGCCCTCCTGGCCATCTGTAGATCTGTGGGGCATTCTGGACACAGTGATCTCAGGTTGACTTCTGAGGACAGGACCAGGGTCAGTACTTTAGCACCCCGCCTCTCCAAACGATGGATTAGGGGCAGCCCAGTCCCTCTGAGGGCTGGAGCAAGTGGCTGGAGGGCTCCAAGATGCAGATCTTGAGGCTGGAGTTACCTCACCTCCCTGGGTTTGGGCACAGTAGAGGGAATGCTCAGGTGGCTACTTTCTATCTGGATAGGAAGAGGCATGGCACCAGAAGTTGGACACTACCTGAGAGCAAAGGGCAGGTGGTTTGGGTTTGGTGCTGGGGCAGGGACTAGCTTGTGGGGCCACACCCTGATCAGTATGAGTTCAGAGCCTGCTTGGAGCGACGCTTCATGTGCAGGCGCTCGTGGCGGAGGAGATCATAATTCTGCCGAAAAGTTTTGACACAGTACCGACACTGGAGTGGACGGGCCTCATTCTTCAGGTGACAGTGGCTACGGTGTCTCACCAAATGGTCGTGTCGCTGGAAACCCTTCCCGCAGTTCCCACACTGGAAGCCCAGCTTGGCCTTGCTCTTCTCCAGCAGGGCATGGGCATCTGCGCCCTCTGTTTCCAACGCATCCTCCTCACTCTTCTGCACGGGTTGCTGTTTGTCTGTCTGCAAGTGGATCCGTCGGTGGGAGAGCAGGTGTGAGTTGAGGCGGAAGCTCTTTCCACACACAGTGCACCTGTAGGGCTTCTGGGCCTCATGGGTCTCCAGGTGTTCATCCAGGTCCTCAGTGACACTGAATAGCTCTCCACACACTGAGCATTTGTGTGGTTTCTGCTCCCTGCGGCTGCGCAGGTGCCGGATGAAGTTGACTCTCCAGCGGAAGATCTTTCCACAGTTCGGACACACATAAGACTTCTGTGAGCTCTGTACCTCACCCCCAACCTCAGTGCTGCTCCTGTGGGTTGGGAGACTATGAGGCTTTTCTGCAGGGCTCCCCAGCTCCTCGGTGCAGTATGGGCTATGTTGGGAGTCCTCATCCCCAGAACTGGACAGCACGATCTCAATGGTCACCTCCTGGTCCAGGTTGCTCTTTAGGGGTGGTGGGTCACCACCACCTCCTGTTACAAGAAACCAGTATGGTCAGTGGAATTGTCCAGATGACTTCCTACCCCAGCTCTTAGAAAACCTACTCAGAAAGGCTTAAGTGGGGGTCCAGATACCCTGGGGTTGTAGCATTCCTTAGTAACTCTGGAGGGTTTGGTTGTCCTGCATAGGCTGCTGGG